CCCCTAACCAGTCAAAGATAGAAGAAAATAGCCCACAGAGACCAAAATCTTCATAGTATTGCTTTTCTGTGTGTGTGGTAGCATACCTGCCACCTGCTCCCCAAAAAGGAAGTAAGTGGCTGTCAGTTGGACAATAGGTGAACAAATTGTGGTATATGAGTTAATGGAATAATGTTGCACCATTGCAAATAACAAAAACAAGGAAGAAAGCTCACTGGAACCCGGCATAGAGTAAAGAAAGGAGAACTCGGAGAACAATAGTCATGAAAACCACAAGCATATGAAGGGAAAAAAAACAGTAAAAGACATCAGTGAGAAACATAGGTGATGGAAATACAGGGGAATCAAAGATTGTCATGGACCCTGTGATTCCACTGGGATAGGGCACTGTTAGAGAAGCTAATTACGAGTAGCTTATGGCTTTCTGGTCTTAGAGAGTTGCCTAAGGCATTAAGAGGATGATTTGCCCAGAGTTACACAGCCAGTGTGTGCCAGAGGCAAACTCAAACTGGGGTCTTCTTGGCTTTGAAGTCAGCTCCTTAGACACTAAGCCTTAACTACATATATTTAAGGAGAGGGCCTGGGGAAGAAATACTATCCTGGGGGAATTTCTTTTTCAAATGGACAGGCCTCCAAACACTGAAACAGATAAAGGTTTTCATAATGGCTAATAAGTAGTATCAAGTGTATAACATGTGTAATAATATAGTATATAATAAATAATACAGTATATAATTAATAGTGTAACAGGGGCCCATTTAAAAAAATGTTAATCTTTCTAATTCAGGAATGATTGCAGGTAGACAGATGGCAAACTCATCTTTTAGGAGGTAGTTTGTGACATCAGTCTAAGCCATGATAGAACAGTATCATTCATGACACATCTCTCCCTACCCCCCAAGGGAAATGTAAACTCTTTGAAGGCAGGAACTGACTCCCTATTTATATTCCCAGTGCTTGGCATGCTCCCTAATACATAATAGATGCTTGTTAATAAATTGATTATTGACCCATTGCAAATTCACTTTTCCATCCCCAAAGACTGTAATTGTATGAGGATGATCATAGTAATTAGCACTATGTCCTGCCTACTCTGTGCCAGGCACTGTGCTAAATACTTTACAAATATTTGATCTTCTTGACAACCCTGGGAGATAAGTACTATTGTTATCTCCATTTTATACTTGGGGAAACTGAGGCAAGCAGACTTGCCCAAGGTCACACAGCTAGTAAGTGTCTAAGGCTGGATTGGAAATCAGATCTTCCTGACTCCAGGCCCAGTACTCTATCCACTGATAGATCCTCCTAGGAGGTTGAATGACTTGCCCAAGGTCACACAACTAGTAAGTATCTGGGGCTGGATTTGAACTCAGGCCTTCTTGACTCCAGGCCAGAAGCTTTATCCACCACACCATCTGGCTGCTTCTTAGGATGACCTGTGACAGAGTAAACATACACCCATACTCTATACATACAGGGGAGAAAATTGCATGTATGCATACAGCCTGTTGATCTAGATTAACCAGCTGTGCATGGCTTTGTGCAACCTGAAACAAGGAAACAAGGTTAGCTGTGAAAAGTTTGACCCACTTTTCTTCATACAACATTCTGCAGGTACAAGGAATGACAGATGCCAGTTTGTCCGGGGGCTTTCTTCACAGACTGCCTAGCTCTCCCCTGGCTTACTCCCACTGCTCCCAAAGCTTGTTCTCACGGGGTGACACCTCCTCTCCCCATTACCTCTGCTACCAAAATCTTCCAAGCTCCCAATTAGACCAGCCCTGAAGAAAGCTGTTGAAGCAGATGAAGCCCATGTTGACAGCTCCTATCTATATCCCTTTCACCTGGCTTCCACACCATTCTCCTCTAGCCTTCTCACCTTCAAAGAGCCCACTGCCGCTGTGGGCCCTGCCTCCAACAGTGCAGTTTCTCCTGAAGGGCCCAGGCCATCCAGGCTCACTCTTTCTTCCTTCTCTAACCTACACTCCTCCTCCCCTACTTCCTGGACTTTTTTCTCCCCCTCCTATTCCTCCGCATCCTTCCAGCTTCCTGTTGTATGTCCTCTTTAAACTACTTGAGGGCAGGGATTATCATTCTTTTTTGTTCTGTTTGTATCTGGAGCATTTAGCACAGTGCCTGGCACATAGTAAAGCTTAATAAATATTTGTTGGCCTCACTTGCCACCCAAGACTCTGCCTCCGTTTCATCAAATGTGAAAATACAAATAGTAACATCACCTATCTCTCAGGGTGAATGCGAGGGTGAAATGAGCACAATGCTGGCACATGGTAGGCACCGTATAAATGCTTATTCCCTCCATCCCTTCCTTTATGTCTCCAACTATAAAGTAGATGATTCAAGAACCTAATGGTGAGCAATGTTTTTGAGAGGTCACATCCAGGGAACAAAGTCAAGACCTTCTAGCAACATTTCCCTTCAGTCATTGTTCGGTTGTTCAGTTGTGTCCAACACTTCATGGCACCATTTGGGGTTTTCTTGGCAGAGATACTAGAGTGGGTTGCCACTTCCTTTTCTAGCTCATTTTACATATGGGGAAACTGAGGCAAGCAGGATTATGTGACTTGCCCAGGGTCACATAGCTAATAAGTGTCTAAGACCAAATTTGAACTCATGAAGATGAGTCTTCCTGACTCCAGGCCTGGTACTCTACCCACTGAGCCACCTTTTGTTAATTAACTCTTTAGTGACTCTAATGGGAAATTTTAGGCTGGTGGAGAAGGTACTTTGGGCTGCTGTTCCCTTGTTCTATCTTCTTGCCTCCTGCCCACCTCTATGTAGAAGTAGCTCACGTTTAGATAGTACTTTGTGGTTTACAAAGCACTTTCCTCACAAGGACCCTGGGACCCAGGTAGGACAAATTTTACTGACTCCCATTTTAAGAATGAGGTGACAGGGGAATAAGCATTTATTAGTTACCCTACTATGTGCCAGGTACTGTGCTAAGTGCTTTATAAATATTATCTGAAGTAGGTGACATTATTATTCCCATTTTGCAGTTGAGGAAATTGAGGCAGATAGAGGGAAAATGACTTGCTCAGGGTCATACAGCTAGTAAGTGGCTAAGGTAGGATTTGAACTCAGATCTTCCTGACTCTAGGCCAAGCACTATATGCACTGTACCACTTAGCTGCCTTAAGGCATGAAGAAACTTTGACATGGGTTTGACCGTGGGCAAATCACTTATCTTCTCTGAATATCAGTAAATATCAGTCTAGTAAATATGGGAATGGAGATTCAAATCCAGATCTCTCCTGACTCCAAGTTCAGTCCTGCCTTTCCTGGGGAGTACCTACCCTGCCCACAGCTAATTTCCATCTTTAAGCTATAGGAAAGGTAATAAATGCAAGGAGATGAAGGAGCCCAGAATCCTTTGCTATCCCTGTCCACCCAGTCAAAGAGCTAATTTTCCTCACCACTAAATGCTGTTCAAAATTCTGCAGTTTAAAGAAGCAATTCAAAAGGCAATGAATAAATTCAGGAGACTAGCATCCTAGGCATGGCTCTGCCACTAATCAGTCTGAGGGAGTCGTTGCAATCCTATGGGCCTCAGTTTCTTCATCTGTAAAATATTTGGGAGAGACCAAATGACCTCCAAGTCTCCTTCTCGCTCTGAAATTCTCTTTCATGACCACAAATCTTAGCAATGAGAGGCAGTTTGACAAAGCGGAGAGTCTAGGCCTTGGAGTCAGGAAGACTGGGGGTTCAAACCCAGCCTCCGACACATACCAGCTATGTCATTGTGATGATGGAGAAGTCACGGATTCTTAGCACTCCCGTGAAACTCTCTAAGACTACACGAACAGATTACTTTGAGGTCAGTAACCAGGAAGGCAGTTTCCAAACTTGGAATTTCCTACAGGATTTTCCCTTGGAAATCACAGGCCCGGGCCATAAAAAAAAAAGTCAGCAAACGTGGAGAACTAACTCCCAACTTCTTGCCTGAGATCCTTAACACCAGTTTGAGAAGCAGTTAACTTTTTAGGGGCAAGCTCAAACTACCTTCCACATATTTGGAGCAAAGCATGGATACTTCTATGCTTCCTGGAATGTACTCCCTTCCCCTCATCTCTTCCAGAGAAAAAGGAAACAAATCTCTGCCTCCAAAACATTCTCGTTCCCTTTTGGTACAGACCTGTGATTTCCATTATCATAAGAAATGTCAGTGTGGAGTTGAGAAACTCCCTCCACCCATTCAAATCCCCCAACTCATCTGAACCTTGGAGTGTTGTAGTGTTGAAGGAGTTTCCCACAATCATCTAGCCCAGGGGTGGGGAACCCGAGGCCCTCTAGCTCCTCAAGTTCGACAAACTTCACAGAATTTGTATTCAGTCAAAGTCACTTAAGGACCTAAAGGGCCACATGTGGCTTCGAGGCTACAGGTTCCTCACCCCTGATCCTAGCCTGTGTGGGTCAAAGGCAGGACAGGACCTGGGTTTCTTGACGCTGAGGTCAGTCTTCCATCCACTTTAAAAATACTCTCTGCTGCCTCTCACAATGTTCCTAACCTCTCTGTATGTCCTAGTCTCCCCGTGTCCTTTGGTCTAAAATCCAGCTAAAAGTGAGGGGAAAATAATGAAGTGGGATGATTCTCCCTCCCCTAACCCCAAATGCCAGCTATACAACCAAGCCAGAAGGGAAGATACGAGAAGGAGCCAAGGGCAGGAAAGAAAAGCAGAAAGAAGGGAAGAAAAAGAAGCAAGGTGGGAGGGAGAAAGGTGCTGTGAAAGGCATTCTGGAGTGATTTTCACCCACTCGGAAGCAAAATGAAATTTAAATCCTCCCCCAAAAGAACTGAAAAACTGTTCTGTTCCCTCCTCAAACACTGGGTAAAACAAAAATACCCTTGCTTGGCACCGGCTAGCCAGCCCACGATTTCATCACATGTTTTGAGAAGAAAACTTATAGTTCCTGGACTGCCCATTCCAGAGCTAGAGGGGAGGTAGAGGGGTGAGGGAGAGCCTAACTTTTGGGGTACTCACTGGCATCGCCTCCTTGAGTGGCTGATGTCATGAGGAGATGAAGAAGGAAGATCATCTGAAGGGCTTAATTAACACTTTCTCTCTTCAGATCCTCCTGCCTTACTCCCAACTGGTTGTACCTCCTGAGATCTGACACTCCTCCACCTCCTTGGGGGAAATGACGAACTGAAATGTCTTCCAATAGAGAGGGACAGAAGTATTAAACGTCATCAGATGCTTGGCAGATTATAGAAACAAAAAAGTGAAACCTGACTAGCAGCTACCACTAGAATTACAGGAAGTGAAGAAACCCCCTAAATTCCAAGCCAAATTGAACATGATTTTGACTTTACTTCCCTCTCCTATATCACATGAGATTTCTGTGTCTTTTTCTAACATGTACCCCTCTTTCATCATCCTTAGAGCCTAAAGGTATATTTTAAAAAGATCTCTGCCTAAACTCTGCCTAGGAGTTATGGTATTCTTTCTCCTTTCCCACCACAACAGGATCCTAGCAGAAGAGCTCATGCAAATCATCCAACATTCTGAAAGAAGAAAGACAATATAAGAGATTCACAACCTATGGCATGAGTGTCAAAGAAAATGAAGGAAATTACTCCAAGTTGTACTCACTGCTTGACCAATTTCCCTTTTTCTTTTTGTTGTTGCTCAGTCATTTTCAGTCATGTCTAACTCTTTGTGACCTCATTTGGGTTTTCTTAGCAGAGATACGGGAGTGGTTTGACGTTTCTTTCTCCAGTTCATTTTACAAATAAGGAAACTGAGGCAAACAGGGCCACATGACTTATCCAGGGTCACAAAGTTAGTAAGCATCTGAGGCTGGATTTGAACTCAGGAAGATGAGTCTTCCTGACTCCAAGCCTGAAACTCTGTCCACGTCGGTCAGCTGGGAACTAAAGTATCACATAATCACAGGTCTAATTGTAAACGTTTTTCCTGATATCAAGCCTAAACTTGTCTTTTAAAAACTTCCATCCATTGTTCCTGGTTCTGCTCTCTGAATCTAAATGTATTTTTATTCCGTGTGAAAGTCCTTCTAATACTTGAAGACAGCTATCCTATCTCTCTACCCCCACAGTCTTGTCTTCTCCAGGATAAGTACCCTCAGTTCCTTCGACCAATCCTTCTATGACACAAAATTAAGACCCTTTACCATTCAGGTTGCATTCCTCTGAACATGCTTCAGATTATCAAGATCCTTCCTAACTTACAGTGCCTAGAGCCTCCAGATGCGGTCTGTTCAGAGCAGAGGCTGTAGGGGACTAATGACGCCTTCTCCTTAGAAGCTGTGCCTCTCTTAACGTTGTCCAGTGTAGCATGGTTTAGTTTGGTTTAGTTGTCAGTTCATGCCATTGGCTCAGTTGCATTTTCTTCAGGAAATGAAAAGAAGAAAAAGAACAATAGCTTGAGTTTTAGTCCTGGGGGCCAGAGGTCCATGTCCGTTCAGGGTAAAAGAAGAGATCCTCCCCCCCTTTCTTAAACACCAAGTTGATCCTAGACAGAATTATAAAGCAGGTGAATTTTGCTTGACGCTCTACCAGCTCTCCTACAAAGTCAGTCTCTACCCTGCTCTCCAAGCACTCAAGGACCTCATGTCATGCCTCAGTATCTTCATCTATGAAATAAAGGGATTGGATGAGATGTCCTTTGAGGTTTCTTCCAGCTCTAGTTTTCTGACTCTTTGAAGCTTAAATCCCAGCACTTTAGCATCCTCAGCACCTGACTTCCATGAGGTGTCTCCCAAACTGTCCCCTTCTCTTCCCGGCCCCCATTAGAGCTCTAATCCCCTAAGTGCGAAAGGTCAAAAGTGAATTCAAGAGGTGTTTTTCTTATTTGTATTAATCAAAGGGAGGGTGGCCTTAGTGATTTTAATAATGGCCTTAGCCTGAACACTACTATAATCACTTTCAGGCTGTGCAGGCTTCTCTCTTTAGCAAATGGTTAAGTCTTTGTTAAGAATAAAGCAGCGGATAGAGCATGGTCCCTGGAGTCAGGAGGTCCTGAGTTCAAATCCAGCCTCAGACACATAACACTCACTAGTTGTGTGACCCTTGGCAAGTCACTTAACCCCATTGCCTAGCCAAAAAAACAAAAAACAAAAAAAAGAATGAAGCTAGGGAACTTTGGGGCAGCTAGGTGGCTCAGTGGATAGAGTACTAGGCCTAGAGTCAGAAAGACTCATCTTTGTAAGTTCAAATCTGGCCTCAGATGCTTACTAGCTGTATTATTCTGGACAAGTCATTTAACTCTGTTTACCTCAGTTCTTCATCTGTAAAATGATCTGGGGGAAAAAATAATTTTAAAAAATGAGCTAGAGAAAGAAATGGCAAACTACTCCAGTATCTTTGCCAAGACAACCCCAAATGGGGTCATTAAGAGTCATACACAAGGGAATGTTAGAACAGGACACTGTTTACTTGACATTAAATATTTTATTCAAGGGAAAACTAATTAGATTCTCACTCAATTAAGGAGGATTTTTAGATCAATATTGAGTAAAAGCATGATTTATTATTTCTGAAAGGGAAGGGGCTTAGTATGTTTCCATAGATCTCTTCATCTGATTCATCTGAGCAATAAGAAAAAAGAACTCTATGGCAGGCCGTGGGGGTGGGATGGGGGTGAAGGGGAGGATCAAGCAGCTTGATATTGTGGATTTGAGATCCCTATTCTAGAAGTTCTAGGATTTCTCACAACTCTAGCCCATGTTCCCCTCCTTTCTCTCCCTTCATGGAATCTGCTAATTTTGCCCCATTTTACTCCCTCTACTGGTGGGTTAACGTAGACACTCAGTATCCTGAAGCTCAGAAGTTTAAGAAGTTTAAGGAAAGACTGGACAACTCTCATTCCAGGGCAGTTTGACGGTGGCTTAACTAGTTTAGGACCACACCCAAATTGGACTTCCCAGTCAAACTCCAGTGAGGCCTCAGAAAACAGCCCTGTTCTTCTGGGCACACAGAGTACAAGCTACTTTCCTAATGCTTCCCGGCCAGGAGCAGGTCTTATACAAGTCACAGGGGCCAACCATATGGATGAGAGGAAGAAGTCCTTCAAGAGATGGACTTACAACCAACTTTTAGAGCTATTATTTTGAAGAATGCTGGAAAGACGGAGTGTAAGTAATATCCAGCAGGCTTAGGCTCCCAGGCTGGGTCCCATAGGCATACCTACCGGCATTTTCTGACAAAGAGTGTGATGAATGAATTCGAAATGACATTCTGACCTCGCTCAGTATGCCGGCAATTTGACCCTGACTTTTTTTATGTTAATCTTACTCCTACCTAGAGGTTGAAGGATTGTTTATGGTATTTGCTCCCAGGAAAGGCTGGCCACTTCTCCAGGAACCAAATATTCATAAACAGGAATGCTCTCAAGGATGTTTTGAGAACAGCTCCTTTCCCAATGATCACGAATTTATGTGGCAAACTGCTTTCTTTCTTAGAAGGAATTAGTAAAGGCGAGTAGTCCTGAGCCATCTTTAGAATCTCCCCCATGGTACAGACACATAGCCAGGGATTTTCCTGTTGGGACTCTGGACTCAGAACCCAGCACTCTCCAGCTGCGTGATCCAGATGTATATGATTTCCCTGATGGTGCTGATCGATTGTGGTAAGATCTGATACTGATTGAGACTTGAGTTGTTATTGCTTGAGATCTATGTTAACTATTGAGACCTATTGTTTGAGATTTACTTAATGAGACCTATGATAACTATTGAGACTCAAAATATTATTGCTTACTTACTGAGACTTATACTATCACTTACTTTTATTACTATTTTAATAATAGATGCTTATTTCGTATATATATATATATGTATATATAACTTGAGACTCAGTGTCATTTCTAAACCAATCCAAACCAAAATTAAATTAAGGTGCAATAAATAAGTTTGCTTCACAATACAAAGAGGCAGACCTGCTGTCCTACCCAGACAACAACTGTTGGTTAGCTTGTTTTTCTTTTAGTGAATGGGGTGCTGAAGCAGCATCTGGGGCTTCAGATGCATCAGCACTATGTTTAGAAGCCTTCCCTTTTCTTTGGCTACTGACACCTACTTCCTCCCTAGGCTCCCTTCTACTATTCCCACTCCCCACCCCAGCAGCCTCACCCACCCACACCTTGAGGGAATTCTCTAGACAAACATTAAGATGTCTACATGACAAAGCTCCATCAGCTCCCTTAGCCCTGGACAGACTTGGAAAGGCCTGGTTAAAAATTGTCAGGTAAAAGATGAGTTATTACAGGCATAGAAAACATAAACTTGGAGTGAGTAAATGAAGACCTGGCAGCCCCCTTTTGAAAACCCTTCACCCACTTTTCAAGAGCTCTTGCTCATAGCCATCTCCAATACTCTTTTACTTAGAAACTGTTGAAGAAATAGAAGCAACGAGCTCCTGTGTCACTTGAGGCAGCCCTTTGGGGTGGAGGGAGCGGGGATAGAGAAGGGGCAAGATCCATTTCTCCATTTGGGGACATTTATATCATTCTCCCCCTCAGCAGTCTACTGAAACTGTACAGGAAAGATCTAGGCCCAACTTTGGCCTATTAGAGCTATCTGAACAAACCACAGCTCCAGCTATACAGCTGATCACCAGTCTCTTTTTATCACAGAGTCATCATACCTGAATGTCTGTGCATCCCCCAAATTGAGAGGCAGAGCCCTTTTGTTACATGTATTTGTGCCTTTCTAGAAACTCTCTCTGCAGGCTTTTCTCTAAATAGAGATTATAGCAGCTAAACGTGCTGTGCATGCTCACCAGGCCTCCATTATACATTCAAGAAGAGACCCTAGTTCTAAAAACGTAGCGACACCCCAAAGACTTCCTAAGTGGGACCAGATTCAGAATTCTAGGGCAATTTAAGCACTACAAAGCTCTTTCCTTGGTTGGTAAGAGGTACTTTTTAATCCCCATTTTCCAGATAAAGAAACTGAGGCTCAGAAATGATGTGTCTTGCCCAAGCTCACACAAATACTAAGTATAGGAGCCAGAATGTGAACCAGCTCCCAAGTCCACTGCTTTTTCCACAACCTTGCTGCTTCTTCAGGAGGTGGACTGCCTTCTGCTCCATGGGGGTTTCTCAATCCAGCAGGGTAAGAGAACCAAAAGTCCTCAAATTTCACTTTCACCTTCCATTCACTTC